CCTCACATTTAGATTCTATATGTACTTGATATGCTGCACATTGCTCTCTTGTATGCCCATAAACCCCATAATGGAAGCAAATCTATTGTAATCCCTCGTACTCTAGTTTTTGTGTGAATCCATCTATTCCAATACAAGGAATTAGTGGTTGGTTTAGATCTACTAAAACCGCGATTCTTGCAAACTTAACTCTTTCCCCCGCCTGAGTGTTATAATCAACTTTAATTACTCGTCCGACTACTGAAGCAATTAGTCGAAAAAGTGCTTTTGTGTAGTATCTATAAGGTAGTCCTGGCAACCTGATCCATACTATCACTTGTGATGGATGTTTTTCAGAAGTTGAGAATGATCTAATCCACGGTTGGACTGTCAAATAGCTTCCATATATTGTTCATGGCCCTTCTGTTAATACCTTTGTATAGTCATCTTCATCTGCAAATTTGACTAAGAAATAGTTGTTTTCTAGGTCGATTAGTTGTATTTCTCCAATTGGTTTCCATAGGGCTTGGATCCGATTTAGCAGGGCTTTGTATCCTATCATCCGTCCTAACAGCCGAACGATGATGACATTCCTCATGTTTTTATCAATTTGATCATGAACTTTTTCCGAGAATTTGATTGTTGGGAAGGCACCCGATTTGTCGATAACGTAGTCCTCATCCAATACCACAATTTCATCATCATTAATACCACAGCCTGTATTTAGCGTTTTCCTTGCCCTAGATGTGTTGGCTACCATGCTTGCGTAAGTTGCCTTCCCTCTTATCTCTATTTCTGGTTTATCTCCTGTTTCTTTTTGTATTGCGCTTTCAATTTCTTCTACTTCATTCATGCCGGATGCTTCGGCCATGTCTCTCTCTAATAGATTATCGGCATCCATCTCTTCTTTTTCTGTAACACTATCGTTGATATTTCCATCCTTTGTGTTCTTGATTTTCTTTGGATTTCTTTGTTCTTTCAGATTCGCCCGATATTCGGTTCTTTCTAAAGATGGTTGTAAATTGGTCTCCGTCTTCTCCTCCGGCGGTCTTCCTCCAAAGGTTCCATATATGTTTTGTTTTTCGATAAGGTTTTCTTACGGGAACGAGGGAATTTTCCCAATCATATCGATGTCGGCTAAAGTAAAGTGTTCTTCTTGTTATTCATGATTTTATCTGATCATTTAAATTGTTTTTTTAGTAAAAATAAAAAATGATTTTAATTGTTTAGAGATGTTATATTTTTTTTATTGTTCACACTTTATAATATTTGATGTTAATCATATTAATATAACACAATCAAACTTTTAAATATAAATATATACACATAATTATTAATTAAATTGTATTTTACTGTATTTGTTAAATATGTTGTATTTTCATATTTTTTAAAATACTAATTTAATCTATAATATTTTTTATTATTTGTGGTGACTTTTATAATCAATTTTATATTAATGTAATGTTATCTTATTTATTTTACATCAATTCATTAAAAATAGATAATTCTTCTTTATTCATATAATTAATGTGTAAATTTTGATTGAGAAAATAAAAAAAAGATAAGTTATAGAGATGTGATCAATATATTTTTCTTCGGCATATTTTTAATATTTTAATTATTCATATCATTTTTTATTTTTACTAAAAAAATAATTTAAATAATCATATAAAATCATGATAATGATTTATGCCACTTTGATTGGATAGTTCTGCGGTGCGGCGCCTAAAAAATGGCTAATATACGGCGTGACCGGTTAAACAAGTGTCCGGTTAAAATTTAGACCGGTTATGTTATATTATTTAACCGGAAATATTATAAAGTACAATAACATACTAGGTAGCGCTTATATAATGTAATAGGTAGCGCTTATATTGACCTATTTTATAAGTAAACCGGTATATTTATAACGATATCATTGCAAATTTACCTATTACATTATAATATGTTGAAAGTGTCTATACTTTTTTATAAAAAAGATCGATACTTTTTTTAAAGTTATGTAATTTATGTTTCAATTTTTTAATAGTGTTTCATGTTTTTCACCTACATTATTAATTTAATAATTTTATTTGCACAAAAAATTATTTGATTGTTTTGATATTTTATAAAATAATATTTAGAATTTAAATTTAACAATATTAACCAAAGATAATAATAAATATGTAATATATATGTTTATTGTTTTTAATTTAATGATAATATATACCGTAACATAAAAAATAAATCATTAGATACATATAATTACTAAATTAATATTTTAAAACTCACTCAAAAGATAACCTTAAATTAATGTTTTCCACAGTGAAATAAGTATGGACACTTTTATAAAAATGATAGATACTTTATAATATAAGCACTACCTATTACATTATATAAACGCTACCTATTACATTATATAAGTGCTACCTATTACATCATATTTTTACCTATTATATTGAAAGTGTCCATACTTTTTATAAAAAGGATCGATACTTTTTTAAAGTTATGTAATTTATGTTTCAATTTTTTTTAATAGTGTTTCATATTTTCCACCTACAATATTAATTTAATAATTTCATTTGCACAAAAAATTATTTGATTGTTTTGATATTTTATAAAATAATATTTAGAATTTAAATTTAACAATGTTAACCAAAGATAATAATAAATATGTAATATATATGTTTATTGTTTTTAATTTACTAAATTAATATCTTAAAACTCACTCAAAAGATAACCTTAAATTAATGTTTTCCACAATGAAAAAAGTATGGACACTTTTATAAAAAGGATAAATACTTTACAATATAAGCACTACCTATTACATTATATAAGCGCTACCTATTACATCATATTTTTACCTATTATATTGAAAGTGTCCATACTTTTTATAAAAATGATCGATACTTTTTTTAAAGTTATGTAATTTATGTTTCAATTTTTTTAATAGTGTTTCATGTTTTCCACCTACAATATTAATTTAATAATTTTATTTGCACAAAAAATTATTTGATTGTTTTGATATTTTATAAAATAATATTTAGAATTTAAATTTAACAATATTAACCAAAGATAATAATAAATATGTAATATATATGTTTATTGTTTTTAATTTATTAAATTAATATCTTAAAACTCACTCAAAAGATAACCATAAATTAATGTTTTCCACAGTGAAAAAAGTATGGACACTTTTATAAAAAGGATAAATACTTTACAATATAAGCACTACCTATTACATTATATAAGCGCTACCTATTACATCATATTTTTACCTATTATATTGAAAGTGTTCATACTTTTTATAAAAAGGATCGATACTTTTTTTAAAGTTATGTAATTTATGTTTCAATTTTTTTAATAGTGTTTCATGTTTTCCACCTACAATATTAATTTAATAATTTTATTTGCACAAAAAATTATTTGATTGTTTTGATATTTTATAAAATAATATTTAGAATTTAAATTTAACAATATTAACCAAAGATAATAATAAATATGTAATATATATGTTTATTGTTTTTAATTTATTAAATTAATATCTTAAAACTCACTCAAAAGATAACCATAAATTAATGTTTTCCACATGAAAAAAGTATGGACACTTTTATAAAAAGGATAAATACTTTACAATATAAGCACTACCTATTACATTATATAAGCGCTACCTATTACATCATATTTTACCTATTATATTGAAAGTGTTCATACTTTTTATAAAAAGGATCGATACTTTTTTTAAAGTTATGTAATTTATGTTTCAATTTTTTTAATAGTGTTTCATGTTTTCCACCTACAATATTAATTTAATAATTTCATTTGCACAAAAAATTATTTGATTGTTTTGATATTTTATAAAATAATATTTAGAATTTAAATTTAACAATATTAACCAAAAAATAATAAATATGTAATATATATGTTTATTGTTTTTAATTTAATAATAATATATATCGTAACGTAAAAAATAAATCATTAGACGCATATAATTACTAAATTAATATCTTAAAACTCACTCAAAAGATGTACATACCTAAATATGTAGTTATTGTACATACCTAAATTTAATGATAATATATACTTGTAGTTATTGTACATACCTAAATATGTACTGCGAATTTAATGTTGTACCCACCCTTTAACTACCACTACCAATACTACATCCTATTGAAAGCAGCACGACTGAAACATGTTCAAAATGAACCTTTGCTTACATCTCCATCAACTCCTGGACCACTGAACTTGCACAACAAAATTTTTGCCATGGATAATACTGATGTAGACAATGTTAAGCCAACCGAGGAATTCCATGAAGTACATAATGTTGATGAATCTGACAGATTGGTTGGTCAGCTCTTCTGTTCACGTGATCAAGCTTGGTACTTTTACAAGGGATTCGCACGGGAACATGGGTTTAGTGCACGTAAGGGAACAACACGGCTTGACGTGGAAGGGAATGTGAAGACACAAGAATTTTGTTGTTCCAAAGAAGGGTTTTGAGTATCAAAGTCAATACTGTTGATCGTCAACGTGCTCATACGCCAGTCACAAGAACAGGATGTAAGGCTAGAGTCGTAGTTACAGCAACAAATACAAACGATCAGTGGGTTATAAGTAAGTCTGATCAGAAACATAATCATGCATTGTGCACACCTGCTATGACACCATTTATGCGTTCTAATAGAGCTGTAAGTAAGGCTGATATTGATGAGGCAACAACATTGAAAGAGGTCGGTGTTGGCACGTCACAAGTAATGAATTATTTAACGCAGCAGGCAGGGGGCTATCATAATGTTGGATTTACACATAAAGACCTCTACAATGCACTTCAAAGAGGTAAAGCAAAGGAAATCTTCGATGGGGATGTGAATGCGCTTATTGCCTACTTTGATTATAAGAAACATGATGATCCCGAGTTTTTATGACATACTCGGTAGATGAATCGGGGGCATTGTATAATCTTATATGGTCGGATTCTACATCGAGATTGGATTACACATGCTTCGGTGATGTAATTGCGTTCGACACAACGTACAAAGCTAATTTGTATGGTCGACCAATTATGCCTATTGTTGGTGTCAATCATCACCATAACACAATTGTGTTTGCCACTGCCATAATCGCTGACGAGACGCCTCAATCTTTCGAGTGGGTGCTACAGAATTTTTTAGAAGCCATGATGAATAAATCACCTATTTCAGTTGTCACCGATGGTAATAGGGCAATGCAGAGGGCTATCAAATATGTTATCCCTTATGCTAAGCACATATTATATTCTTGGCATCTTTCTCGCAATGCACAAGCTAACATTGGTGACTCAAAGTTTACAGCAGCATTCTCAAAATGCATGGCTTCCTGGTGGACAACCAAGGAATTTGATATTCAATGGCGTTCGGTTGTTTCAGAATTCAACATCCAAAAGCATCCATGGGTGATTTAGAATGGAAATACACGACACTTATGGGCACAATCATATCTAACCGGTCATTTCTTTGCCAATATTCGCTCAACACAAAGGTGCGAGTCTATGAATGCTTCACTAGCTATTGCACTGAAACACAAGAAGATATATTTAGATGTTGTTCGTGTAATTCAAGATGGAATTAGTAGAATGCGTATGAACGAGTTGAAAGCGGATTACTTAAGTTCCCATATGAAGCCCTTCCAAATCACAAAACTGGTCGACCTTGAAAGCCATGCCGTTGCGATTTTTACCCGTGAATCTTTTCGTGTGTTCCAAGATGAACTTATACGGGAGACATTATACCGGATTGAGGCAGAGATTAAGTCCTTATCAGATGAATGTCAACATTATATTTTGTCAAAGTACGCAGAAAATAATAGGAAATTTGAAATTAGTTTTGATTCTCGTACGAAAACTCTAATTTGCTCCTGCAAAAAATTCGAGACCGTTGGACTTCCGTGTCATCATCAACTTCACATTTTGAAGCACTTGGACTACACATATTTGCCCGGGACTTTGATTTAAAGTAGGTGGACTAATGATGCGAAGGCTTCTGCACCCAGCTATGTTGATTTGAATGTGTCTCCAGAAGTGATGCAAATGGCAAGGTTCGCTGCTCTACGTTCAACGTCAAGTAGGTTATGCTACATTGCATCAAAGACAGACGAGTCTTTCAAAACCGCAATAGATGAGATGAAAAAACTAATAGAAGAATTAGAAAACTCGTTTGGTTTGAATGATTCAGTCAACCAGAGCATTGTAGTAAACAATGTTCGTGACCCTCAACAAAAACAACGCAAGCGAAAAGAAGTGTCGAAGAACAAGGTCGAGAAGAAAATTAGGCGATGTGGGTACTGCAACGGTGAGGGACATAACAAACTAACATGTCCTCATGTCAAGCTCAGTTTGAGTACAAGCACACAGCCTACATCAACTGATTTTTTTGAAGACGGAATGGAATGACAACGATCTCCATATATCGTAAGTATCAACATGACTCCTATTGTAAAGTACCGACACAATATTAAAAAGTGTCGATATAGGTTGTAGACCTATTCGCTCATAAAATCGGTATATTTATACCGATTATATTACAAAATTATCTATTACATTATAATTCTGGGTTCCGATGTGTAAATGTCGACACTTTTTGACAAGGTATCGACATATTTTTCTTCCAATCTGGACATAAAGTACCGACACAATATTAAAAAGTATCGATATAGGTTGTAGACCTATTCGCTCATAAAACCGGTATATTTATACCAGTTATATTAAAAAATTATCTATTACATTATAATTTTGGGTTCCGATGTGTAAATGTCGACACTTTTTGACAAGGTATCGACACATTTTTCTTCCATTCTGGACATAAAGTACCGACACAATATTAAAAAGTGTCGATATAGGTTGTAGACCTATTCGCTCATAAAACCGATATATTTATACCGGTTATATTACAAAATTATCTATTACATTATAATTCTGGGTTCCGATGTGTAAATGTCGACACTTTTTGACAAGGTATCGACACATTTTTCTTCCATTCTGGACATAAAGTACATACACAATATTAAAAAGTGTCGATATAGGTTGTAGACCTATTCGCTCATAAAACCGGTATATTTATACCGGTTATATTACAAAATTATCTATTATATTATAATTCTGGGTTCCGACGTGTAAATGTCGACACTTTTTGACAAGGTATCAACACATTTTTCTTCCATTCTGGACATAAAGTACATACACAATATTAAAAAGTGTGAAAACTTTGTTGTGGATATCATGGAAAACAATGATATAGTAATGTGTTTCGATACATTTGCAAGCAGATGTAAAATACATTAATAACTAGTATTGATATTTCAACAATCCTCAAATGTATATGTATACAGAGAAGCAAATATGGAATAATTAATGAAAATATACACACAATATAATCACACCAAAATATAAATACACAAGAATGTTCAAATAATGTACCGACAAACGAAATTAATCCGATGAAAAAGGGTTATTTCTAACAAGTCCGGAACATTAGAGGCCTTCAACAAATTTTTCAAATACTCTCGTATGTTTCCGCCTTTTTCTGAGGACATACATAAATAATTTCAATTATCAAACTAATGAGGTGCAATTTTACTAACAATAAACTAAATTCGCATAAGCATGAATAAATTTGTGTCATACCTAGAGCATTGTCGTTCGAATAGGAAGCAGCGTCAAAGGTATGTGGACATATGTAATTGTATTTCTATATAAACACATAAGTTGTTAAAATAATATATGTCTGAACACCTGTTCAACTGAAAAAACATATTTCATAAATGCAACTTACCGGATTATAAATCATTTTTTCCGCTGAATCATCGACCAAAAGTGTATTTAGCTCGTTAAAATCTGGACACGCGTTCCAAACATCATTGAGATCTTTACAGTAGGTAACATAATCGTATGTTTTGCATTTTTCTTGATCCTGTTCACAAACAGTCGAACATAAATATGTAGGAATCATAGACAACGAAAAGTCAGCAAACTGTAATGACATTCATCTTACCCACACGAATAGAAAATGCTCAGAAAATAAAGGTAGTTTCTCAAGTACACGGTCGACGTTATGCCTGAGATTGTAATCAAGTTTGAATGTTAACATTCAAATGTATATTAACGATTTTGACTACAGTAATTCAATTGCTCCAAACATGTTCTAACCTCATCTTTATTGACCGCTTGGTTGTCCACATCTGTTAAAAGAAAATAAAATACAGTTCAGAATGTGTAAATGTTTAGAAACATAAATAATGAATTACCTAACTCGTTTGATGTCGTTGACGTAATTCGTCACGCAACATGGAGACTTCATGTTGCAATGATGAAATATCGGATCACATTCCACTCACAAGAGAATCAATATGCTCCCGAAAATTGACCATGTATTCCATCACGGTCTTAATTGTGACATCCTCTGCAACTGGAGCTTCTTCCATCATTGCGTCTCCACTTGGTTGCTCTTCTTCATGGCCAACGGGGTCCATTTCCTCCCTCTCTTGATCTAATCCGACCTCCTTGACACGCTTCCAACCGAGTTTTTCAACAAAATCATATCCCGCTTTTTTAATAAATACCATGTCAATCTTGCAGGTTAATCGAACAGGGGCGTCATGCGAAAAATCAACTTCCTTCTTCTTCAACAGATGGGTGATGACACATCCATATGGTAGTGTAGTTGAAATTGTTGCTCCCTTTGTGACCATATATACAATTGTATTAAATATGAGTTTTGCAATGTTTGGAGCCGTTTTGGATTTGGATTTATACTTTGCTATCCACCAATAATCGCTGTCTCGAAGCGTTGAATGTTTTCCCCCACTAGGCCGGATATACCATGTGAGCATTTTGTGAAACACTCTCGACTCTACATCGAGGTGAATTGGGATATTTCTAGCAACCCGTTTAATTGTAGACCAATCTACACCATTTTCATCTGAATCCCCTTTATTCGCTACACCTAAACCCTCCGCAATAGTTTCCGGAGATATATATATATCCTTCCCCATGACATATGTATTAATTCCTATTATATTAGTCTTATTAGGCTCGTGCTGTAAGGAAGCATTGTTGTAGAAGACTCTAACTAGGTTGGGATAATATCTTGGTTCTACACCAAGGAATTCAAGTCAACCCCAAGATGTAAATATGGATTTAAAACTAAATGCATATTTATCATCAAACAAGAAACCCAGGTCAATGACACGTTCGGGACGAATCTTCCTTACTTTAAAACTCGTCTGCCATCTTTGTTTCTCCATATCAGATCTAAAGTTCAGAGTTTCGAAGGACCTGATTTCCTCAGAAGAATCGTTTGTTACAGAATGAGGTTGTGGTTGAGAAGAACTGGGTTGAGAAGAGCTTTGAGAAAGACCGCTCTTCTGACGCTGACGTTTTGGAGCCATTTTGGTTGGATGCTATTACAATGGAACACAAACACATTCAGGAAAAAAACTCCAATATAGAAATCAATCAAACCCATAAAATATCGATAAATTTACCTGAATATCTGATCGTCGCTGTTATGATAACGCTAGTATTCTTCGGAGAGGAAGAGTTATCTTCTGCCTGCTTGCCTTTATGTTTAGGGTTTTTCGATTTAGAGTACTATATATAGTGAACGGTGGAAAAACACTTGATATTTAAATTAGTATCGACACAAACTAAAAAAGTGTCGACACATTATTTAGACCTATTCTCTCATAAAACCAGTATAATTGTACCGGTTAGATTGAAAAATTACATATTACATTATACTTTTGGTTTTCGATGTTTTTGGGATCGACATTTTTTATATATGGATCGACACTTTACGGTTGCACCCTGTTTGCCATTAATTCTGGACCAAAAATATCAACACAAACTAAAAAAGTGTCGACACATTATTTAGATATATTCTCTCATAAAACCGGTATACTTGTACCGGTTAAATTGAAAAATTACATATTACATTATACTTTTGGTTTTCGATGTTTTTGGGATCGACACTTTTTATATATGGATCGACACTTTATGGTTGCACCCTGTTTGCCATTCATTCTGGACCAAAAATATCAACACAAACTAAAAAAGTGTCGACACATTATTTAGACATTTTCTCTCATAAAACCGGTATACTTGTACCGGTTAGATTGAAAAATTACATATTACATTATACTTTTGGTTTTCGATGTTTTTGGGATCGACACTTTTTATATATGGATCGACATTTTATGGTTGCACCCTGTTGGCCATTCATTCTGGACCAAAAATATCGACACAAACTAAAAAAGTGTCGACACATTATTTAGACATATTCTCTCATAAAACCGGTATACTTGTACCGGTTAGATTGAAAAATTACATAATACATTATACTTTTGGTTTTCGATGTTTTTGGGATCGACGCTTTTTATATATGGATCGACACTTTATGGTTGCACCCTGTTGGCCATTCATTCTGGACAAAAAATATCGACACATTATTTAGACATATTCTCTCATAAAACCGGTATACTTGTACCGGTTAGATTGAAAAATTATATATTACATTATACTTTTGGTTTTCGATGTTTTTGGGATCGACACTTTTTATATATGGATCGACACTTTATGGTTGCACCCTGTTGGCCATTCATTCTGGACCAAAAATATCGACACAAACTAAAAAAGTGTCGACACATTATTTAGACATATTCTCTCATAAAACCGGTATACTTGTACCGGTTAGATTGAAAAATTACATATTACATTATACTTTTGGTTTTCGATGTTTTTGGGATCGACACTTTTTATATATGGATCGACACTATATGGTTGCACCCTGTTGGCCATTCATTCTGGACCAAAAATATCGACACAAACTAAAAAAGTGTCGACACATTATTTAGACATATTCTCTCATAAAACCGATATACTTGTACCGGTTAGATTGAAAAATTACATATTACATTATACTTTGGTTTTCGATGTTTTTGGGATCGACACTTTTTTATATGGATCGACACTTTATGGTTGCACCCTGTTGGCCATTCATTCTGGACCAAAAATATCGATACAAACTAAAAAAGTGTCGACATATTATTTAGACATATTCTCTCATAAAACCGGTATACTTGTACCGGTTAGATTGAAAAATTACATATTACATTATACTTTTGGTTTTCGATGTTTTTGGGATCGACACGTTTTATATATGGATCGACACTTTATGGTTGCACCCTGTTGGCCATTCATTCTGGACCAAAAATATCGACACAAACTAAAAAAGTGTCGACACATTATTTAGACATATTCTCTCATAAAACCGGTATACTTGTACCGGTTAGATTGAAAATTACATATTACATTATACTTTTGGTTTTCGATGTTTTTGGGATCGACACTTTTTATATATGGATCGACACTTTATAGTTGCACCCTGTTGGCCATATTGTAAATTTGCCTTTTACTTTAAAGTATCAACA